TAAAGGTTGCCTTGGTTGCCTCATTTCAGTTTGCAATACTGTCAGACTTACTCTGCTAATTTAAGAGGGGTAGATATGGATACTTTATTTCCTAAGGAAAATAAGAAAATTATAAGTTAACATTTAATCTATCTCATGCTTGTTTTATTTCCTTTGAAAGTGGTAAGCATAGTTAAATCACTCTTATTGCTGTTTTCATTTTGCATTTAAACCTCTTTTCTTCCTCTTTACCAGGCTAGAGTGAAGTGGGTGAGAAATTTCCTTGTCTATAGCAGTGCTGCGCCTGGATGTGATAGCTTAATCTCTCTTATCACAAGTCTCATTGATGTTTACTTAGAACAGCAGCTGGAAGTCTGCTTTATGTATGGCAACCTTTCATAAAGTTTATTCTTGGTAATAAAAGTTCCGGGGGCAAGAGCCAGGCTATTATAAGAGAATCCTCTTTCTGAACAAGGGTATTTTATTTTGTCAGCTGAAGTTAGTGTTTGAGTATTTTGTACTCGTGACAGTAAGCTGGTGAGGAAGGCAATCTATTTCTGAAGTGTTTTTTTTTTTTTTATCACTATCAAGAAATTAATGGCTTTTACTAGAAATGAGAATTCCACTATAAGACTTAAGTCACTTAAGTTGTTAACCAATATATTAACCTGTGAATTTTCAGTACCAACAAAAGAAAGTATGTATGACTATAATAACTTTGAACACTTTTACTTGTTTTATGTGTTTAAACTTTGACCTTTCAGTTGTCAACAGCTAAAAATTAGGGAACACGTCACATTCAATTTTCATCTTCCTGTGTTAATAAAGTTTCAAGCATAGAAGTTAACATTGATTCTTAGTAATCCAAATGACATTTCGAGCATCTACTTTGCACCTTAAATGATGCTTCAGTTATGGATCTCTTTTTTATTTAATAGCTTACCTTGTAATTTTAATTAGGTGGGATGTAGATGGATGAGAAAATCACAGGAGGACCAGAAAAAACAATATAGGTGGTTGTATTTTATGATAATGACAAAAGTACTGTTGACATTTTACCTTGTCTTATTCTAACCTGCTGTATTTACATACTACTTTTACATGCATTATCTAATTAGAACTTTAGGACTATCATGTGATTAGGTACTGAGACCAAGAAAGATGAAATGATTTGCCTTCATTTACTTGAAGTGGTAAATCTTAAACTGTTTGAACCCATATTTTCTGACTTATCTAAACAGTGAGATTCTTGACTTTTTGGGCTCCCAAAAGAGCCTTGTAGTTTTTTAAATTAGAATTTATTTTTGATATATTGATAGCTTAGTAAATTTTATTGTTTGATTTCTAACTTGATGAAAATAGAGTGATCAATTAAGGACTACTTGTTAGTGGTAGTCAAATTGCCAGCAGCAGTGAGGGATAGACACTAACACAAAACATGATTCAGAAAAGCTATAAAACCAACATAAATCAAAAAGCATTGGGCTATGGTGCCACTTTGTCAAAGGGTGTAAAGTCTGGTATGTTTTAGTACATGACAAGTATTCAAGTTATACCATCAAATAATAGATTCCTTAGAAATAATTCTTCTGGAGAAATTTACATGAAGTATGTTTCACTAAAAAATACTTGCTTGCTGAATTTGGAAAATTAACTGACTTTAACTTAATTCTTTAGATCTTGGATAAAGGAAACAGTACTATGTTAACCACTTATAAATCTAAGATTTGTGCTAATGGTATTTTTATACTGATCTGATCCCTGTTAATTCAATATGACAGTTTCAGCTCAAAGTTGACTAACTTTGATTTAATTAAAATTCACCAATTTTAATTATTTGAAACTTGTTTCTAACCCTCCTAAATATCAGAGTCATTGTCTCTAGTATGGAATTAATATCTTAGCCCTTCCTGTGACAGAGGTCAGAGAGAAACCACTTGAGGGTACTTGTCAGTTCAGGGGGAGTTAAGAGTACTGCATTAGGAATGACCATTGAGACCTAAAGGTCTGAAGCAAGCAGACAGCGAACCTTCTACAAGGGTAAGGAAAACAAAAAACTTGTGATTTCTCATAGGTAGGTTTGGTTTGATGTCCCCCTTCTTCCCTTTCTCTCTCTGAAGAAGGAGCTGTCCCCTTTTTTTTCTTTTTTTTAATCCAAAAGAGAAGGTTTATTATTAAAAAAAGGAAAGGACGCTTGCACAAACACAAGTGGACAGGCTGGGGAGGAGAGCTGCCAGGAGCTGTCCTCCTTATTTCTCCCTTACGATTTCATTTATGGCTTGTTTCCCTAGCTGTCTCTTTACAAAATAATGCATCTAACTTTATTTTAATAAACTATAATTAAAATTAATAATTAAATACTGAAAATGGATAGACATTGGGGTATGAGTCTTAGACTTGTGATATGTGTAATTTCTCCATGCATGAAAGTACTTGAATGTACTTGTTTTATGGGTGGATTTGAACTTTTTTATTAGTTGAAAATTTGATATGTTGGTGAGATCTCTATTGCTATAACTCTATAAAGTAATTCCATCCTCCCCACTAAAGCCTCCTTGTTCAAGAACGTTTGTGCTACAAGAGTCTTTTATTTTAAAAAATCCTTTTTTCTGACCTCAGAAATGTTCTTGACTTTGTTTGCTCCTGCCCTTTCCTTCACTTATTTTTCCATATGTTGACTACAGTCACATTCATTTATTGTTAGGAAGTTTATTAAATATAAACACACATTTAAAAAATTTTGAGTCCATGCTTCAGTTATTCATTAGAATTGTTACAAAAAATTTGAATGAGGTCACAGTTAAAAAATATGCCATTTTTGTGGTGAATATGTTAGTGCTAACAAACTCTAGCCACAAAACTTAAAAACTATAATAATAAGTTTATTTAATAAATGCTTCTGGATTCTTCTGGGTTCTTGCATAGTTTTGATTAGGTAGTGCATGAATTCTTTTTTCAAGAAATTGAGATCTGAGATACAGAAATTGATTTTAAGTTCCATCTTCTTAAACATTTAGGTATCTGTTCATAATGTTTAATTTACTGAACTGTTACTTAGAAAAGATAAATGAAAAGCTAAGACTGAAAAAATAAGATATTAAAAATTGCTTTCAGGATCATGATGGCATGTTATATAGATCATTGTGAGTTGCCTTTCTCCACTGAATTTTACTAAACTGAATTTAACACCTGCTTTCCCCACCAAAGCTTAGCTGTATTTAAAAACTATGTTCGTTGTTGATTCCAATGTTATTTAAATGTTGACATTTTGATTGTTGGCACTTTAATCATTAATCACAATTTTAAAAGACCTTTTTTTAAAAGTAGTTTTACTAAGTAAAATTGAAGGGTTTGTACTTGGTGAGTTTTTAAGATTCTTTTAAACTGTAAAATGAAGTGATTGTGTGATAAAAGTGTTTTCTCTGTAAGAGCCTCTTTAGTGCCTGCTTTCTTCTCTGTGTGTCTGGGGCCGTGCAAAGACATTAAAACTTGTGTACTTTTCTTAAAGATTTGGGAAAGGTGAAGCATTTTTATACTAAAACAAGTATATTTTTAAGTAGAATTGCGTGTGTGTGTGTGTGTGTGTGTGTGTGTGTGTTTGAACTAAACCAGGCATTTCAACAGTTCTTTTATTATTGTTGAAGGCTGCTTAATCTGTCCTCATTGTACCACCCTCCCTCTAACTCCCCAGGGAATTTACTGCTTCTGTTCTCTGTTGCTAGGATTTCCTGGTGTGAAAAAGTCTGAAAAGTTGCATATATATTAGTTATACAGTCATGCTTATTTTAGTTGAAATTAAGAGACAGATAGGAATTTAATTCATTTCTGCTTTTTTTTAAAGGAAAATTTTAGACACACAAAAATAGGCAAGTTGTATATTGGTTACTCATGTAGCCATCATTAAGCTTCAACTCATGCCACTCTTTAGGAATTTAATTTTTTGTGTATTTCCCAAGATTTGCCAAGATAAGCATCTGTAAGGTCAAGGTACTGACATCAGAAGCATTTCTGAACAAAGATGTTGCAGTTGGTGGGTGGGTAGACTCTTCAGCTGTTGTATAAGCTTGCATAAATAGTATCATCTTGACTTTAATCTTCCCCTTGTTCAGAGGTAGTGTGCATATTTCTGTTTAACCCCTGGAAATTTGCCAAATTAATTTGTATCCATCCTTGGCACCTTCACTCTAAATGTTACATGAATAAAAGCAGTAAATCGATATTAGCAGTCTATTGAATAGAGCCATTGAGAAGGAAAATCATTATCTTCCTTAAAAATTTTTTGTGTATTACCTGGTTAATATTTTGAAAACTATAAAATCTGTGTCACTTTTTATCTTTTTGGGAATACAGATATCAGAATATAAAATGAGAGAGACCTAGATTCAAACCTCACTCCAAATCTCACTTCTTTTTTTTTTTAAATTTATTTATTTATGCATACAAGAACTGGGGTACAGGCCAGAGGTGTGGGGGGTGAGAGGACTCACCAGAGACAGTGGGGGACAGAACAGGCAGACTGACTGAAATACACTGCTGAGGGAAGCAGAGGGGAGACAGGAGAGGTCTGCCGCGCCATGTGGGTTTCTCCCTGGCTGGCCGGGGATTGAACTCATGCTGCAGAGGCTATGAATTGCTTCATAGTGCAGTGCCTAACCCCTTGTGCCACCAGGGAGGCCCTCACTTCCTTTTTTAATATAAAAAGGACATAGCAATCATTGTTTGAGTTAGGTAATACATTCAAAATTAATTATCTTAAAATATCGTTTGCACTGTATTATGTATGAGTTCAAGTCTTAAATGGATTTTTCTCAACTGGAGTTGAGAAAGTACTATTACTTTATTATTTAGAAAGGAAAACTAATAACCTAATATTTGCCATATGTAATTTTTGACTGGTAGGTATAAGATCTAAAGATGTAGTAGAAGAGCTAATAGAAAGTATTTATGTTTGAACAAATGTTCTGTTGAAGCAAAACACTGGAAAAAGTGCCTCACTATTATTTCTTATCAAATAATTACAGCAAACTCTGGCCTGTTCTATCCTAACTGCACTATTGAGTGAATTCTCAAGTTCAAGCAAAACTAGTAACATTGGACTAAGTATGGAATTCCATGGTAACTGCAAACGAATTTTTCAGGTATGTTTCCCTTATATTTTAATTATTAGATTGTTCATTTTTTACTCAATCTGTTCCTAATGGAGTAAGAATACTTTATCTAGTTGAATGGTAACCAGTACTTGAGGATTTGTGGTGTGATTGCAAGGATACAGTAAAGTGATAGATTTGGTGAACATAGTTGACAATTTAGAATACTTGTTTGATATTAGTCTAAATAAAACAAAAAGAAAATGCTTCTGTGAAGATCCTAAGTTTATTGTTTTGCTCTGTGTTTAGATGTAACCAGTTCAAATGGTGGGACTCTGTCGGCCTTAAAAATAGGCCTGGCAGAATGCCAAAGAGCGCTGTGTATTTAAAATGTTATTGCAGATGGTGTGGCCTCTTTGTCGCCTATGTATTGTTTGGCTCTGAAGTAGAGTTATGTGAACAAGTTGGCTTCAGTCTGAGGGCTCTGCACTATAGCAGCTGGCCCCTTCCAGCTTGGAGTGGTTGTCAAAGACTGACTTCTCTACAGCGTTTTATGTATATTATAGTATATGTGGCCAGATTGTTGTCTTTTGAAAGCATACTGTGATGAAAAATACGAGCAGAGCAGAACAGAAAATGTAAAGTTCTTAAGGAAATAGTGTTTTCCTTTGGAAATGTTAAGGTTTTTATTAAATTGTGTTGTTCTTCTACAAGGGACTATATTTTGAATAAGCTTTTGATATAAAAATATGTGTAACATATACTATAGGAAGAAGACCTTCGTCAAATCTTCATGTTAACTGTTGAAGTTCTGCAAGAGTTCAGCAGGCGCGAAAACCTCAATGCTCAAATGTCTTCTGTATTTCAGCGTTATCTTGCACTTGCCAATCAAGTCTTGAGCTGGAACTTTCTTCCTCCAAATTATATCCTTTTAACAACTGAATAATTTTTTGTGATAATTTTCCTAGGTGATATAATTATGACTGGAGCACTTTATCATCAGTCATAATTAAGGTTTATAAATAATTTTTCTCACCCCATGTAGGTTTGTAAAAACATGTTGGAAAAATAAGTCTTTTTAGAAACAATTTTCTTTTATAATTCCTCAATGCAGTGGACTACTAGAACATTTTAAATTTTATTTACAACTCTGTGCAGAATGGTTGAATAAATTGGAAACATTTGGTAGATGATGGGACTGTTGCTACAGAATAGTATTCTTGAGGTAAAGGGAAAAGACAGGAAGTGCATTTTATCAGGAAACTGATTCTCTTTGTAACGTGATTTAGATTGAATTTTGAGCTGACATTCTTTAAAGCTAGTTTGGACTTTTCTGGTTTGGTTTTTGTGAATGATATTGTTTAAGTGTAGATGGTAAGCTTATCCTTTGATAAGTTTATTCTTTGAAGGCCTTTTCCAATATAAAAATATGGTAATATCATTTGTGGCAGATTATTTTAGTAATATAAAACAATTTAAATAGGTTATATTATCTGTTTTTTTATCAGGTACTAAAGTTGGGATATATAATTATATTTTAGAAAGTTATTTCATAAAGTTTGTGTTTTGCTACATTTGCTGATTGAAAGGAATAATAAATAGTATATAGATACTCATTTGTATCATTGTTGAGTCCAACAAATCTAGATTCAAGTCTCAGTTCATCTTAGGTAAGTTATTTATCTGAGGTCTTAGTTTATGCCAAAAGTATTATGGGCAGGTGTGGATTGTTGAGTTAATTAAATGAAACAATACATTTAAAACACTTAAGAATTAACCACTATTTATTGTGCTCTTACTGGTCTATTTGAATAGAGCAGTTCATCAGCTAGCTATCTTTATTATCTTCTTCTTGATCTAATATATTCCTTATGGTATAGGATACTGTAGGAAATTTAACCTGTTCTCGATGTCTTTAATCCATCCTTTCTTGGGACAAAAAGGGTTAAATATCTATTTAGGAGACAAAGATAATAAGAAAATGAATCATGTCAAAAAAGTAAGGTGAAACATTTCTCTTTCAACAGAGGAAAGAGCTACTACATTCATATACAAAGAAATTAGCTAATTATTTATGGCTAGTGAAATTGTGGGATTTTAAAGGACCAAGTGGGGTGTAACTTTTTCTTCTATTTTCAAGCTAATATATATTTTTTAAATATTTTATTTTATATAATTCTTACATCATTTTTCATTTTTGCACAATGTATACATTTTCATTTTGGTTATATTCCCCATACAATTGCACCTCCCCTTACTTTGATCTTAATCATTCCTCTCCCCGCCCCCCTAGTGTGTCTCTGGTTTATAGTTGCTTGTTGATTTTGATTTTTACTTTGTATTGATTAGACTTTTTCCTGGTCCCTTATTTAGGTTTTCTAAATTCCTACTATGAGTGAGACCATCCAGTATTTTTCTTTTTCTTTCTGACTTACTTCGCTGAGCATGATTCCTTCTAGCTCCATCCATGTTGCTGCAAACTGCATGTGTTTATCTTTTTTGATTGCTGAGTAATATTCCACTGTGTATATGTACCACATCTTCTTGATCCAGTCATCTATTTTTGGGCATTTGGGTTGTTTCCATAGCTTAGCTATTGTAAATAGTGCTGCTATAAACACAGGGGTTCAGGCTAATATATTAATGTAATAGAAAATTAACTGTACAAAATGCTGGATAGGAAAGTGAGTCTCTGACTCAAAACCTAAGTTCTCCAGTTTTCTTTCCTAAAGGAACCATGATCAGTTGTTGCTTTGTGGTGCAAAGCTAACATGAAGTTAATCAATAGTCTCTAATCATCTTCTCCTAACAATCAGTTTTATATTTTCAATATATTATTTTGGTTGTTAAGAGGCAAGAATTTCTTATGTGTACATTAAAATAATTTCCCCATTGAATGTCACAATATAATTTTGCTCTAGTCTTTGTTAATTAAAAAAAAAAAAGTCACAAAACTCTCTGTTTTAGAGAAAATGTAGTTGGCTGAAGAGTGACTGTTTCATAAAAGGAAACAGTTCTCTAGGAATTTAGAAACAAAGTTTGTTTGAAGATACATTAAGTATTTTACAAACATTTTAAATATTTGTTAAATATTATAAAGATTTCAAGAAAGCTTTGGAAAACCTGTCATAGAAAAACAATAATCACTACTACCCTGTTGCCAAAGGAAATAATTCCTTGTTTAAAGAAAAGTAGATTTTAATCTTTCTTGCTTATATTCTACTTTAAGAATTACAAGTTGGGCCTCCCCGGTGGCGCAGCAGTTAAGCGCTGGGTTGCGAAGCTGCCCGCAGCCTCTGCAGCGCCGGTTCGATCCCTGGCCGCTGGGTGAGGGTCCCACATGGCGCGCAGACCTCTCCTGCCGCCTGCTGCTCCCCTCAGCAGTGTACTTCATCAGTCTGCCTGTTCTGCTCTCCGCTCTGGCTCTGGTGAATTCTCTCATCCTCCCGCGCTTCTGACTGTACTCAGTGCTTGTATAAATAAATAAATAAATATTTAAAAAAAAAAAAAGAATTACAAGTGATTTCCTATGTGACTTTTGATGTTTGTTGGCTAACTGAACTACATAGTTAAGTAGTCCTTTCTTTAAGTGGATTAGCTTTAAGTGTAGGAAGAAAAAAAACATGGCAATGAATTAAAGTTGCATTTTTTGTGGTTAAAGAAATTAGTTCCAAGGAATCCAATTTGTTAATTAATGAGAAATCTGTCATTTCATCAGTGGGGAGAAAATCTAATAATTTTGTACTTTAGACAGGATCTAATGATCAAACTTAACATATTTAATATGTTTTAAGTTTATGGTTTTTTGAAATATGATTTATCTTTTAGGATAAGCAGATGAACAGCAAGTAGATCTTGTAAAATGTGTTGTATATTTTGTATCAAATATATTTGATCATTTAGAGTGGCATTATGTTAAATAAGATTATGTTAAATTATCGTTATCCATCCCTATTCATAATTTTTGTAATCTACTTTCCTTTTTTGTATCTCTGTATTTGTTGTAATTTTAACATTCAGAAATACTGTAATTCAAAGAATTGCCATATGCCCCTTATGAAGATTCATCAATTGTTGACATTTTGTCTGCTTTTTTTTACTTCTGTTCACACATACATGTACATATGTACATGTTTGTGTACATGCATGTAGATACTTAAGCACATTTTCATCTCAACCATTTGGGAGCATTTGTCCACATTACATCCATTTACCCTTGAATACTTCGTGTATGTTTTTCTGTATGTTTTCCTGTGATGAAGAGTTTTAATGTTGCACTGTGGTTCTTATAGGAGAATGTCTTACAAAACTATAGTACAGTTTTAAAAATCAAGAAGTTTAGTGTTAATACATGCTATCATCTGATCTACAGCCCATATTCAAATTTTGTCATTAGTCTCAATATCTTTATAGCTATTTTTAATGCTTTGTATTTAGTTGTCCTTGATCTGGAGCAGTCCTTTAGTTTTCTTTCATAGACTTGACATATTTGAAGTGTATAGGTTAATAACTTTTAGAAATGTGCTTAAATTTGTGTCTTTCTAATGTTTCATCGTGATTAGATTCATATTTTTTGTTTACATTTTTTTTTAATAGAGGCATGATTTATTTGTTTGTTTGTTTGTTTGTTTGTTTTGTTTTGTTTATACATGTACTGGGTACAGTCAGAAGCGCGGGAGGGTGAGAGAATTCACCAGATCCAGAGCAGGGAGCAGAGCAGGCAGAAGGACCGAAGTACACTGCTGAGGGGAGCAGCGGGCGGCAGGAGCGGTCTGCGCGCCATGTGGGACCCTCCTCCGGTGGCCGGGGAGCAGCCAGGGATCGAACCGGGGCCGCAGAGGCTGTGGGCAGCTTCGCAACCCAGTGCTCAACTGCTGCGCCACCGGGGAGGCCCAGATTCAGATTTTTTTTGTAGTAATACTATAGCAGTGATATTGTAATTTTGTAGTAATACTGTAGCAGTCCCTTTCAGTACTTTGTGGCAGGGAACACAGTATGTCATTTTACCATTTGGGGTGATAAAGTATTCCGAAGCTTGAATCACTTGATTATGGTGGTTCCTGACATTTCCCCAAAACCTTCCCTTTCCTTTTATAATTAATAATTTGCCATGTTATACTTACAGACTATATAAATATTCTTTCTCCTAAATGTTTCACTGATTAGCTCTAGCTTGCATTGGTGATTCTTGCCTGGATCAGTTGTTACAATAGTTGTAAGATAGCAAACCTTTTGCATTTATTTGGCAGCATTTTCCCATTAGGAAGTTTTCTTACTTATTTATTCATTCTTCTATTTGCATCAGTATTACTCACAGGTTCTTATTCTTTGGAATGGATTGTTATCTGTTCCTATCATTCATTATTTTGATGCCCACATTGTTCCAGCTTTGATGTCTGCCAGTGACCTCTCTGTCCTTTTGATTTGTCCTACTATTAAGTTTCTACTGAAATGACTTAGGCTTAAAGTTTTAGGGGTGAATAATTTTAGATGTTGCTGACTAAAATAAAAGACAAAGGATTTATTAGATAATCAAAGTGAGGATTTCCACCACCATGCAGTCAGATGGAATTTAATCTGTGAGAACTGTTCAGACAATCACAAATTGAATGTATATAGATAGGAACAATGAGTCATTGACATCAAAATGTAATTATTTTGTGGGGCAGGGGAGGGTTTCTGTTTTCCTTCTGTAGGCTTAGATCTTTCCATTTCCTCATTGATCTTGACCAAAAAATATGTTTATGATATCTATGTGAAGAGGAGGACAGTGCTGGGGTTTAACCACTTCTCTACTACTAAAGTATGCACTGGAGATACAGGACTGGGTTTCCATTACTTGTCTTTTTTTTTTTTTTTTTTTTTTTTTAAAGATTTATTTATTTATGACTACAAAAACTGGGGTACAGGCCAGAGATGTAAC